GCCTCAAAAAAAAATAAAGTTATGAATCTAAGCACTTGTTTGTGGTTGGATGAAACATGACAAAACTGAATGGCTATGACTCAACCAAGAATCGCCAAGATCTTTGCAGGTTTGAAGGGTAATTTTGACCCAAGACCACCTGCCATGTAGTGTCGCTTTCGCCGCGTCAGAGTCATCTCCCCAACGTCGTAGAGGTGTCATGATCATTCTTTCGCCAGGGTTCCACCATCTTCCCAGCCGCAACATCCCCGTAACAGAAGGCCCTTTTTTTGTGTTGCCTTGTGATCAATCTCACCTCGAAGCGTTCCGAAAAAAATTGCAAAGGTCTCAGTTCCCATGATGGCCATCCCATCCTCCTTGAGACTGGGTTACAGCAGCTTCAGGGGAACGGAGTGACGGAGTGACAGCTGGTTTGTTTCCACTTCTGGCAAGCGGCTCATGGAGATTGGCTGCAGAAAACAAATGAAGCCATCGGAAATGAGGGATCCATGACCCAGATCATGACCCTCTAAAACCATCTGGTTCAACCTACAAAATGTTGATCATGTTGGCATCATATCATCCCAACCTCAGGGGTGGAGAATCGTTAGAAATGTGTTAGAAACATTCAGAAACCACCAATCACCAAGCAGTCATCCTAAAGCCTGGCCAAGAAACGCAGGTGGAGCCCACCAGCTCAAACCTCAGGAGACCAGACAAACAAAACCAGCCATGATTTGGAGAGAAGATAAACCATGTTTACTGAAGGGCAGTCCTGGGGATGTCACCAGGATGTCTAGAACAAAAATGGGAGGCCCAAAAATCACGCCATTGGCGATGGGCTCGATCTTCATCCCACCAGGCCGAGACGCTTCTTGCGCTCCGATAAGGCCAAGATCTCCTTGTCCGTTTGCAAGAAGGCCTGGCGCGTCATGGGATACCATGTCAGTTTTCCGCAGTTATGGCATATGCCCAGGTGACCCCCAGGTATATGGCTTGTTACACCCAAACTTCTTCGCCAAATTTTAAATTATTTGAGCTTCCTCTGTTTACATACTTTCTCTTAGCTATATATACTATATACCAAACTTTGGGTAGATTCCCCGCTGATTGGGAGCAAACAACAATCCTGTCCTTTTGCTTCCCTCCGTCAGCAATTGCTGCTTGGCTGGTTGAGCCACCCATCTTATTTCCAGCCCAAAAAAGGCTATCGGTTGAAAGTGATGTTCATCCCCCCAAGATGATTTTTGATGCGGTAGACCCGGTAGACCCAATACTCAACCCCAAATTCCCCAAATGCTAGGCTTATTATAAGCTTACTGGGTTTATCACATTGCTAATGGATCCATCTCCATATCTTTGAGGCCTCTTTGATGGCGGTCTTGATCTTCTCGTCGCGAGAAGCAGGTTGGACCTTCATCGCTGGGAAGTTGAGGAATGGCGTCCCCTTCATGAATCTACGGTTGAAACTTTGAAACCATATTTTTACCCCCAAAGTGGTTGGGGGTTCCTGTCTAGGATTCCCATCCGAGTTTGGCAAAGCTTGACCCCAAAAGATCGCTTTGTGGTGATCCCAAGCAGTATCTCAAGATGTCTGAAGTGAGATCTGCCCAACAATGTCGGTTGAAGTTTGGCCCACACCCGTTCATCCTCCAATAAAAAGGTCATTTGGTCATGTTTGCCAAACAATATTAAAATAGTGGTGCCCAAATCAAAAAATATATAGACCTAGAGATCCATACCCAAACGACGGAGAGAATCGGCTAAAGCCTTAAAACTTGCGAGTTCGAACTGCAAAAACGTTCCAGGAACGACATAGTTGGGGTTTCAGCCACTAGTTTTCAGGGCATCGTTGTTGCTCATGCTAGCCCTGCTAGCCGTTTACATCGGTTCATTTCCAATCCAAAGAACTCCATGGTTGATCAAGTTCCTCATTTTTCTGGCATCCCCTAGCCCTAGCTATCATAGCCATTTTGCAAATGGCAACTAAAGATCATGCCCCTGTGCCTGTCGCTGCCGCATCTGTTGAAGAACATTCCTTACCGCCACTGGAATCGGATCAGGATGCCAAGGAACCCGGAAGTCATCGTCGTCTTGAAATGGACATCTTCAAAGATAGGGCATATTCCTTAACCATCCCCATGCAATAGTAAACACATTTCCGGATAGTATGACACGAACAAATTTGGGAAGCCAGAAGATTTCTTGTTCCATGATTGATGCAACATGCAAACCATGTTGGGATTGGGGCACCTTGGGGCACCCCTTGGGGCACCCCTTGGGGCACCCCTCACCAAATCTACAGGGGATCCGCTGGAATGGGACTGGTTCTGCATTGCACCGTTTATGGCGTCGGTTCTACACCACAAGAGTGGTCAAGCTACAGTCCGTACAATCCGCTACTCAAATGGCATGGCTCCTCACAACTTTGGGGTCAACGACCCTAGGTCCTAGGTTCAAACTTTCAGTGGCTCAGCTAGGCTTTTTTCTGGCACTGGGCAAAGTTTTTAGACAGGAAAAAGAGATTGGGCTCAATTTCAGTATCAACCCAGCCAGTTTGATATTGGTTTGATTCTTATGTTTGATGCTCCATGATGCCTCATCCCCGCTCTTTGTTGCTCAACTCCCCGATGGCCAAATTTGGCAGAGTTGCTTATGGAGCTTCTCCTTTGCCATGTCAGCCACCTGCAAAGAAAACGGCAGGGATCTTCGGACATCCAAGCAGCAAGAACTCGAGGTGCAGCTCTTCAATTCTGCTAGGGGCAAAACATGTAAAACTTGGATGATGCTGGGCATAAAACCTGATTTTCCAATATCTTCCATCAATCACTTCTGGCACCTTTCATTTTTTTACTGGCACAGTAGAACTTGTCGTGTTCCAGCTGGTTCTGGCAGATTCGCACCATCTGGGGAGATCTCACACTTTCGCCAACAAGCACCTGCGTTCCGCCGTGGCCGTCGAGGACAGCAAAGTAGACGCCCAGTTCCTGGCGGGTGAAAACCAAAGTCGATGGCTTCAAATACCAAAATGTAGATATATATATATATATATTATGTATGTATAATATATATATATATATATGTATATTAGTAAACATGGTTGAACTTTCTGAACCATTCGCAAAAAAAAAAAAATCACCCCACTCAGCAAATGAGCGAAAGCTCGGAGGGCTTTCGCAAAACCTGGATCTCCCCTTTGGGGATGGACGGCAGCCTCCAGCGGCTCGTCCAAAACATAGCGATCCTGCAAGGTCTTCTTCAGGCCGGGCCTGCGAGCGCTGCTTCCAAGCAGCATGGATAGGATGATAACTGGTCCAAATGTAGGGCATGATGCATACAAAACTAAGGGACAGAAAAGTTATCTTTGCAGCTGGCGATATCATTTTAGGGTGATGATAAATAGATTGAATGGTGCCCCAAACGACAAACGGGGTGATTCTAAATGGGATATAATCATAGCTCGTGTAAATGGTGTGTGCTTCATACCTACCGCAGAATTGGTATCACTGGGGTTCGACCTACCCATAGCTGAGGGTTTGCCCCAAGTTGCTCCCCTTAAAGGACAACCTGTGGCTGCCCTTTTAAGGGGTGTTTCACCAGGGCCACGCGCACCAGCTTTCACAGTGGACACGAAGCCCCAGAGACTCCGCAGAGACGTGGTAGCTCTTCTTCTTCTCCTGGCGCGAGGCTTGTCATCGCTGCTGCTTGGTATGGCCATGAATCGACAAATCATTGGAGATAAGCAGTGAATGCCCAGTGAATGCCACTGAAGATTGGCAATATTGACATGAAGGAGCAGAATACTTCCGAATACACCAACAAGTCCACTTATGATCGATCGACCTACCATCCCATCAAAGGGCAACCGCCATCACTGATGATAGTGATGATAGTCATTTTGCCGTAAATGGCAGGTGCAGATCCTCCAAGCTTCTTTGGCAAATGCTTTTCCTACTGGTCCTACTTTGGGAAGAGGTATCATGACAACCATTTGAGAGCACAAAGTGAGGCATCCTACACACACACACACAACATCACACAACTTCTCAGAAATCTCACTCAAAATGTGTGCATTGGGATAGCGACCCTGCTCATGACCCCACTGGCTACCAGGCTTCCTGGGTTCCTGCGATGGCAAAACTTTAAGGACCCCCACCTACCCCCCACAAAAGGGCTGGCATTTCCCCTTCGAACTGTCCCAACACCAGGGAGTCCGAGGGCTTTGCCTGTTTTTATTTGGCGTATTCAATGTTTTGACTGTATGATTTATGTGATAGTCCAATCACCAGTCGTACTGGTTGCATGGTTCCCATCCGTCTGATTTGGACCCAAGAACATAAACATCTGGGTTTGTCCAAAACTGGTGGATACCCAAGGAAAATTTTCTTGCTGAAGTCCCCCGTTGCCTCCAAGGTTTGCGCTCCCGCATGAATGGGCAAGGGCTTGCCATCGGCCCCTAAGAGATGACGAGAAGATACCCGGATTCGGTGCTTAGTAATTAACCAATATTTCCCCACTATGGGATGCCCATACCTGGGATTTGGAGGTAAGCGATTCAGCGATGCAATGGGTTTCAAAATGGGATTGTCCAAGGGGATTTGGAGGTTGCAATCTTCATCCGATCATGGGTGCGACTTTCTGACCTATAGCCAAGGTATTTCGCTGGTCCCGTCTTATCTATTGTCCTGGCAATGCTTGACTCTTCACACTTTGGGGGGGCTTTCTTTTTGACCCTTAGCCGCTAGTTACGTCACTTTCACTCCGACCTTTCCTTCACCATGGGATACCAAAACATGGGAAATGAGGGGTCAAACGATACAGCTCCCAAACATCAATTTTTGAAAAAAAAAAAACATTGTTCTTTCCTCAGCAACAAAATGGATATCCCAAAATAGGGGTCAAACGCCGCTCAACCCTGAAATTTCTAGTCTGAGACATCGGTTGGTCTCCAACATGGGAGGGATGTGCAGCATCTAAGCCCCCGAGCCCAGCATGAGCACCTCAAGAGCACACGGCTTGCTGTCCTGCGTGCCCTGCTTGTAGCTCACCTGCCACATGGAAACCCATGCAGCGGCAGGCACTGATGGCAAAACGGCGAAACCCACCGCGCCTTCACACCCTCCTTGAGGTTGATGGGGTTGCTGGGAGTGCTGCCCACGATGAACTTCCGGTGCACAAAGAGGCCTGCAGTTCCATATCCAACTTCCCATGTTTGTAGCTTGAGTTCCATCCTTTTTGCATGGTCATCTGGACATGTGTCCATTTGCAACAGCATACCATTCCATACATCCACATGATTGGATGGTTCATTTGCATACGTTTCCAAGCTTTTGTTTCGCTGCATCCCAATTTTCAGATCGATCATTTACCCCCTTGGGGCCCCTTTACATCTGTACAAATTTGGATCTGGTTACGAATCGTTTCAAACAGATTCTCTTGACCTCCCAAGTGGGGACCAGTTGTGGATGGTGCAAAAAAATCCTCGAACTCCATCGGATCATCCTGGATCATCCGATCCGCGCCTTTGCCCATGTCACCGCCCTCCTCCTTCCCCGCAGGCATGATGAAGCCAAAGCCCTCGCGATGAACCACAAAATTTAGCCATGGTCAAAGCATGGCATATGGGGTGTACGGTCATCTATCCCATGATGGGAATCGTTCTGGAAGGGAAATCACATGATTTTTAATCCCTATTGATGACATTGATGACCATCCCGCAAGATGGGTACACGAATCCAACTTTTGACCATGGCACATTTGTGCATCACCTTCTCGGACAGTATGATGGGCCAGTTGTCCAAAATATGGGGAAGTCAAACAGCCAGCTCTTGGGCACGCATCAAACATTAGGATGTCACCACCAAATGATGAAAGAAACGTGTCCAAAAATCAAAAATGGGGGGGAATGTGGCCCCAATTCACAATCTTTTACGGAAAATATGCTGACAAACCCTGGATTTGGGTAAACCTACCTGATATGCAACGGTTGGAAACTTATGCAACAGTTTTTTGCTGGAGCCAGCAAACACCTGGACATGGAGACCATCAGACCATGGGGCGGTTTAAAACAGCAAGCGCAAGAATGGTGCTACATCAGCAAAAATTGGCTTTCAACCAAGAGACATCCACACTCAAGAATATAGGACTTACAGCACCAAACAAGAATGGGTATACAAGGTGGGGATTCAAGCAACCAAAATGTGGAAAATATCAGCAGAATATGCAACTGAGCGCCTTCCAAATGACTGTGCGTGAATTACCGACATGAAATGGTTCGTGAAACCACATATATCCCATTCCTATCAGTTTCTTGTTTTTTTTGTATTTCACCAAACGATTTGTCAAAACGAACAATACTTGCGGCTCCCAGGCCGAAGATCTCCAATTATCTTCGTCCACCGTCAAAATCTGATCTGGAATCTCCGCCTTCTCAGAGTCCCACTTGTTGACTCGCCCCTCCATCCGCGCATCCTGCGAAAAAAAGGGTCTACGGAAATATCACGAGTATATTAATGTCATACATGCAATATGATATGTATACATATATATATATACATTTATCTTATATAGATAGATAATTAACATGTATATTCGTAGAAGACACATATTTATAAATATCTGCAATATTTTTACATGTATAATATGTTATTATATCCGCTGCCCCTGCAACAGCAAGGGGGAACGTGTACAGGAAGAGTTTGCAAAACACCACAACCACAACAAGGATTTGTGGCCAACCAACTCCAGGGACGTGATGAAGAGAAATGGGAATACCACATACAGTATGAGTTCTGGTCTATGATTGCCCCATCTTCAACCATCAATCAAATCTACACTATCCACACACCATGCAACCCAAAAAAAATACGAATTTCCAGCCCTAAACTCATCTTCTAACCCTGATGTGGGGCATTTGAATCCCCAGCTCAGATGGGTCCCCACCATCCATGGGCGCTGGTGCAGCTGGCCTCCTCCTTCTCAGGTTCTTTGGGTGGAGGCTCTGCCACTGTTGGCGCCGGAAGCGGCCCTGTGGGCGCCTCGGACTCCTGGCGATCAAGGCATGACTTTGGATCCCTGCCATGGGGGGAGTCCTCATGACCTTGGAGTCCCCAGGTAGCTGGACCGAGGACCCTGCCTGGGCAGCTTGGCCGTCCACCTCAAACTTCACGAATTCCGTCTTGGAGATGGCTTTCCTCATTTCTTCGGACCTCACCAAACAGGAAAATCTGGCCCAAGAAGAATCACTGATGTTCCACACCTTTGAGAAGCATCCATTTTTGGGGGAAGAGTTGAGCTTCAAAGTTTTGATCTGAAAACCAAATTCGGAGGGGCCAGATTTCTGCCTTTGGCAGCAACTGTGCCCCGCGCTGCTTCATCTTCTTAACAAGCGGATCCTCGGTCGAACACAGTTGGACATTACAAACTACCAGAGGCGTAAAAAGGCTGCAAATAGCGAAGATCTTACGTATGTAAGTTTTTTGGTAAGCAAAACGTCATGACAAACAATTTGTCGGCTGCTGCAATCGGAATCACCCTTTCTGAGAAAAGCATTGTAATATGCATTCAATGTTCCTACAGTTTCAGGCTCCAAAATGAAGATAAATCGCAGCAGCCTATGTCTTTGGACCTAGGCAGCTTTAAAACATTGCTTAAAACCTTCCACCTCGTTTGGAGTCTAAACTATGTGCACATCATTCATGGGTCCACCGGCGGAGACAGCGTTTAGAAACAACTCAGCATATATGTATTGACATGTATTATATATATATATACACATATCTATCTATCTATCTATCTATCTATCTATCGATCGATCCATCCATCCATCCATCCATCCATCCATCTATCCATCTATCCATCCATCCATCCATCCATCCATCGATCCATCTATCCATCCATCCATCCATCCATCGATCCATCGATCCATCTATCCATCTATCCATCTATCCATCTATCCATCTATCTAATCTAGTCTAGTCTAGTCTAATCAAATCTAATCTAATCTAATCTAATCCATCCATCCATCCATCTATCTATAATACATGTACACGTACTACGCAAATGTATATAATCAGAACATGGGCAAAGCGTGTGCAAACACATGGTGCACCAACAGCCATGGATGTTCCTCCAGGCCCCAGGCGTCGTCATCATCTATCCTTCTGAAGAATCTGTGGTCGCTCTCTTTCGGTGTGTAGTACACCTGGACGGTGGATGTTTGGGATGCGATCCGCTCCAGGCCAGAAATCCCCTGGAAGATACATGAAAGGCGTGGGTGAACTTACCCTCAAGGTTGATGGCAGGGTTCTTGTAGCATTTCAAAGCAACTTTGTGGGAAAGAACGAACAGGAGTGATCGATAGTCATCCTAGGTATTTGGGACCCCCAATCGTCTCTGGTCCCCCCTCCAGCCCAGCAAGGAAGCCTGTGACTTGAAATGGAAATAGAGCCCAGTCTCCGGGTGGAACTTCCATTTTCCCGTCTTCTTATAGACCTCGTGGCGCCGTGGCACAAGCGGCAACCGGAGTTGGTGGTGGGTTAGTGATGGCTTGTGGCTCTACCCGCCTCCAAAAACCAAGCCAAAATTTCAGGCAGGCCCGATGGGTTTCATCGAATTGAAATCACCATGCTTCCATGGCTGGACATAAGAAACTCAGCCCCTACCATCACCTTTTTCTTCTCTGCTGGCCTTTCTTCGCTGATGCGGGCCACTTTGGGTCCCCATCTCCGACGTGGAAATTTTGACCCCTGCAGCGCTCTCTGCGCCGCCAAGGTGTCATGGGGCAGCAGTGTCACCATACGATCCAAATACCCAGTTTTGATGACATTCAGTCAATTTCCTAACATCCCAAGCACTGCGGGGGCGGTCAGTTGGGCACGGCACGGATCAGCCCGTTCGGGAGGAACAGCACGTCAAAAACTATCTTGAACTGAGCAGCAGGCTCCACGATTACAAAAATCCCATGGAAGCTCGGCACAAATTTGACGTGTTTCACCACAGCCCATCTGCATCTCAAAATTCTCAAAGCCAAAGATCGGCAAAAACAACTAGGATAACTAGGGGTCTAGACGGTCTAACCCCAATCGTTTCTCAATATGTGAAGCCCTTGGGATCCCAACCACACTGGCAACTGCCAGCAGCTTCAACAGTTCCAAGATGAAGGCCCCAGGGCCGCAGAAGAAATCGATGATGTTCGCCGCCTCGGAGCCCCACGGATGACGTTCGCATTACTGGATTGGAAGCAACACTCCTGGGGATAGCCCAATGTTTGGCCATATGGGAATGGGTCAAAACCCTGGTACCTAGTGAACATCAAAATAGCTGGTAAATGGATGTTCATCCCCCTAAAAATGGTATTAATAGGTATTGATCCATACCCATATCCATGGCGAAAATGATGATCAACCATGGGATTTTGGGGTGCCCTTCGGACAAGCTCAGACACGCCCACATTTCTGACCGAGAAAATGGTGTGGAAGATTTTAAGTATGTGCGTGGTGAGCCGTCCACAAATGGGCTATAAAAGTTGTTGAAAATGGTTTTAGGAAACAGTAGCCGAGCAGCTGGCACATGATTAACGACCTTGGGATACACATAGAGTCGATGAACAAGAATAGAAAGAAATGGTTTGTGACGTGGGCATCCAACCCCAGAAACAACCGATAGGGGTCACCCAAGATCGTGATAGGGGAGATACCAAATTTTCGCAGGGACGCACCCGATCAAAACATATCAAACTGATCAAGAATGGTTCCAACAAACTTGGGGTTGTCTGAAAATAGGCTACCCCATTCCATCATCATTGTCCCTTCAATGGCCATGATGGTAAGTATACATCACTTTCAGACACACCCACTCTTGGCCCTCAGGCCCTTTGGTGACCTTTGGAGTCAACCGATGCCAGCTCCACCATGCAGCACAGGCACCACCACGGTTCGTTGGAGTCCAAAGCCCTGTAGCGATGAGGCCTCAGTTTCCACGAAAAATTGTGGGATCTCACGAAACATCACAAGTTTGTTCCTTCCTGTCGTCACCTTGGCTATCGAAGTTCCAACCCCAATTTGCACCGGACTATTTGTAAGTCAAAAATAACTTATGACTCGCTCATAAAACACGAATCTAGTACAAGCTAAATCAGCAGTAATCAGCCCCATTGGTCACAAATTGTAGCCCTGGGTGCCCCTGCCCTGATGGCCAGCACTCCAGGGTTCTTCCTAACCACCTCCTGCGCCATCTCAACTCCCAGGCCTCTCTTTAGGGCCTGGGACGCTGCCTGGGAACCGTGAAATCAAACGATATCCCAGTTGGATCTGTATATCTATGTCTATATATATATATATGTCTATGTATAATTTCCATCAAAGGGTGGTAATAAATCACAACTGGTATTGTTCTTACAGATCATAGTATCCAGATCATGTGTGGTTCTACAGAAGTTACTAGCTACTGCCCTTAGGTAAACAAACGCAGCTGGCTGGAAAAAGATCCAGTTCTGGACAATAATCCACAGATCAACAGGCTCTGTGTTGACAATATCAGCCCCGGATTGACAAACCATTAGGCTGTTTGCCATTTAAGTAGCAAATCGGCCCCAAGTTAATCAAGCAACCAGGGCTCACCAATCCAGGGCTGACATCACACTCAATTCGTAGCTCCCTCCACCAGCGGAGCGCCGTCCCAAGCACCTGCATCACGCGCTCACCCACGCAAACGATGCCCACATTGCGCCGCAAGGCTGCTAAGCCCGCCTCCTATATCCGGAGGCATTTGGATGCGCCAGTGAGGTTCTTGGGGGTCCAGTTGAAAAATTAAAGGACCGGACAACCCCACAAGACAACTTCTTTGAATAAAAAGCACCAAATGTTGTAGCGGGGACGGGGAAGGAAGGAAAGACAAAGGAGGTGGTGGAGGACCGAGAAGTAAAACAAAGTTGTGTGTGACAAAGTTGTATGTGAAAGCTGGTGTGTGACTAAGAAAGATAGTGTGTGTGACAAAGTGGTGTGTGCAAGATGGTGTGTGCGAAAGTTGTGTGTGAAAGAGGGCGTGTGACAAAGTTGTGGGAAAGATGGTGTGTGACAAATTGGTGTGTGAAAGATGGTTTGGCGAAAGATGGTGGGTGACAAAGTTGTGTTAAAGATGGTGTGGTGAAAGATGGTGTGCGACAAAGTTGTGTGTGAAAGATGGTGTGGTGAAAGATGGTGTGTGACAAAGTGGTGTGTGAAAGATGGTGTGGTGAAAGATGGTGCGAGACAAAGTGTTGTGTGAAAGATGGTGTGTGAAAGATGGTGTGAAAAGATGGTCTGTGACGGTGTGTGAAAGATGGCGTGTGACAAAGTGGTGTGTGGAAGATGGTGTGTGAAAGATGGTGTGTGACAAAGTGGTGTGTGACAAAGCGGTGTGTCAAAGATGGTATGTGACAAAGTGGTGTGTGAAAGATGGTGCGTGACAATGTGATGTGTGAAAGATGGTGTGTGACAATGTGATGTGTGACAAAGTGGTGTGTGACAAAGCGGTGTGTCAAAGATGGTATGTGACAAAGTGGTGTGTGAAAGAGGGTTTGTGAAAGATGGTGTGTGACAATGTGATGTGTGAAAGATGGTGTATGAAAGGTGGGGTGTGACAAAGAGGTGTGTGATAGATGGTGTGTGACAAAGTTGGTGTGTGAAAGATGGTGTGTGACAAAGTTGGTGTGTGACAAAGTTGTGTGTGAAAGATGGCGTGTGACAAAGTTGTGTGTGAAAGATGGCGTGTGACAAAGTCGGTGTGTGAAAGATGGTGTGTGAAAGATGGTCTGTGACGGTGTGTGAGAGATGATCTGTCCCACGCCTGCCACGCAAAACGACAGTAGATGTGAGTTTGTGCCACGCCTGCCACGTGAAACGAAGGTGGATGTCAGGTTGTGCCACGCCTGCCACGCAAAGTGCCGCGGCGTCACAGGCGCCCAAGCCGGCCCAAGCGCGCCACCCAGTACCATAAGTGCCACGCCTGCCACGCAAAACGACGGTAGATGTGAGTTTGTGCCACGCCTGCCACGTGAAACGAAGGTGGATGTCAGGTTGTGCCACGCCTGCCACGCAAAGTGCCGCGGCGTCACAGGCGCCAAATCCCGGCCCAAGCGCGCCACCCAGTACCATAAACGCACGCCTGCCACGCAAAACGACGGTAGATGTGAGTTTGTGCCACGCCTGCCACGTGAAACGAAGGTGGATGTCAGGTTGTGCCACGCCTGCCACGCACGCCTGCCACGCAAAGTGCCGCGGCGTCACAGGCGCCAAATCCCGGCCCAAGCGCGCCACCCAGTGCCATCTGTCCCACGCCTGCCACGCAAAAACGACGGTAGATGTGACTTTGTGCCACGCCTGCCACGTGAAACGAAGGTGGATGTCAGGTTGTGCCACGCCTGCCACGCAAAGTGCCGCGGCGTCACAGGCGCCAAATCCCGGCCCAAGGGCGCCACCCAGTACTAAGTGCCATGCCTGCCACGCAAAACGACGGTGGATGTGAGTTTGTGCCACGCCTGC